GATCTATCAAAAGCCAGAGATTCCTTGACCAATTTATGCAGAGGGTCCAAAATATATCATTGGCCATTGCATAGGTCTCCACTAGATAGTGGTAGACCGCTGAGTTAGCAATAGAGGTGGCTAACTTCTGGGTTGAGTTTTTGACTTTTATCTTAACTTAAAGAAGGTTATCATCTTCACTTTTTTTCAACTAAATATTGGTATTGTTTCAGTTCTCAGAAAACCTCAGGAAGGAATGAAGTTTGTGCCATGCACTTCGGGTTTTGAGTAGGGGTTTTTAAGCCTATGGAGCCATTCTTAAAATAATGTTTTTAAATAAAATAAAATAAAATAAAATACATAGGATTATGAAGGAAATCAATTATATTAAAATTAAAATGAGGGTTTTCTTCCCATCCAAGCTCATGGACCCTCTGAAATCTATCCCAGGTTAACAACCATTGGTCTAGATTGTAAGTATGACCTTGTCTAATCAGCATTGCTGAGCAGTGAAAGAGAAAATTAGCCAACGGAACTTTCAGTACTGATGCATCTCTGTTTCTTTCTCCAGGAAGAAGGTAGTTTCCAGAAAATGACAGCAGATAGTCAGAACTGTTTTCATGGATATCCTAGTTGAAATGTTTTCAGGATGGCTTAAACCAATGGCAAGCACTGCCTCCCATCCCTAAGAGCTCATGACTTTTTTCCCTTTTTCATGGGGGGAACCCACCAAATACCAAAAACCAAAACCAAAACCAAAACCATCATTTGATTTATGTGAAATTATAAGGTCAGTCAGATTTTAATAACTTTAATTTAGTAGTTCCATCTTTTAGTCAGTTTAATTTGAAAGATATTTTGCTTTTGAACAATGACAACTGAAAAAGCCATCTGAGAATGTGACAGCTGCTCGATTTGTTGTCCTTTATGTTCATTCATTCTTTTGTAGATTTTCCACCTACCTATAGATCTTAAACACAGAATTGCCAGGCCTCCTTTAGTTGTGTTGCTATGCACAGATCTTAAAGACATCATAGTCTAGAGTAGGTAATGTGTGTTGATGATTTCTTCTATCTGAGTAATTTTGGCCATATGGACATCATCAGGAATAGACCTCTATGAGCAGCTTGGTGCTGCAGTGGATAGAGCACCAGCCCTGGAGTCAGGAGGACCTGAGCTCAAATTCGGCCTTAGGTACTTTAGTTGTGTAACCCTGGGCAAGTCACTTATCCCTGATGCCTCAAAAGAAACAAATGAACAAAAAAACTAATAGACTTCTATTATCTATTTTTAAAAATCTTCTGAACTTAAGTATCAAAAAAAGGCACTTTCATACACAGAGAGCAGAAGACAAAAAGAGAATTCTATTTGGAACTGTGAATCTCCATTTCACTCTGCTTGTTAAAAAAAAACAACACAAAAATAAATGCTGATTGTCAATGATTGACTATGTCTAGCAATGTTAGGGACAGAGGCATAACTAGCAATTGTAAGATCTGGAACAATTACCACAAAAGGTTCCCTTAATTCAACTTTTTAAGACAAATTTATTTTTTTTCCAGGAAAAATCTTGGGACACAAGTCTCAGCAAGCATGTTAACTATGGAAACTGCAAGGCTGCCTTCAGCAGGGAAAGGCTAGGGAGGACATCTTGCTAAGTAGGTACTAATCTTAGTTTCTGTCTGCCAAAGGACTATGAGAGCTGTAAGTGTGCCCTAAACGTTGGTACCAAAGGGCAAAGTCCTGATTTTCTCACCCTACTTATGGTGCTACTTTTTTTTTTTTTTTAAAGCAAGAGGTATGGCTGGGCTGTGGACTGCACATGTAAAGATAGGAAGTTTGGAATGTTTATGGATCTGCAGAAACAACTGTTGCTTCATTCAATTGTGTGCTAGCAATTGCCTGGCAGATGTTATTGCCTAGAAGCTTTTTTTTTTTTTTAGTTCATCTAAGCCCTTTAGTGCTCCTAAGTTTGTATAGCACACCAGTGCAATAATGATTTTTGCCTACCTAGACTTTGTTAAGCAGAATGTAATGGAAGAAACCCTAGGTTAGGAATAACAGTGAGTCAGTGTCAAAGTCAAGGCTAGATTCCTGACTCAACTCTCTGGGCCTTATCTTTCATTCATCACATGTATACCTTGTCTATACATAGTTGTTTACGTATTGCCAATCTCATTAGATTCTTAGCTCCTGGAGAGTAGGGACTGTCTGTCTGTTGCTTTTCTTTGTACAGTTATGTCTTCCACATCTCGGTAGTTAAAGGTGTGGCTCCCCCTCCATCTGGACAATCCACGTAAAATTTTTTGTCTCTCCTTTTGTACCAGAGAAGTTTGATTTTTTTTCTTTTATGCGGTGTTTACAGTACCTCATTGTAAAATTTGGGTGAAATATTTAGTCACAGGCCCTGTGTTGTCTCCTGGCCTTCATGTGTCATCTGCAGCTTCCACAAAACTCCCCCAAAATTCCCATTTAATTTCTTATGCCAACCCTTGATATATTGAAACCATGATGGGGAAAAATCCCAATGTGGAAGAGATAACTGTACTCTCAGCACTTAGGACAGTGCCTGGGGCATAGTAGGTACTTAATAAATGCTTATTGACTGGACTTGACTTATTTGCAATTTGAGGGGGTTGGATTTGATGATCTCTAAGGTGACCTGTAGCTGTGAAATTCCATGGTTCTACATGTCCATGACAGAAGCTATATAGTGGAGTGGAAAATAGCAATAGTATAAGTAGCTAGCATTTATATAGCACTTTAAGGCTTGCAAAGTGCTTTACAAATGTTCTCTCATTTGATTCCCACAACTCTTGGCGCTAAGTGCTAGGTGTTACTGTCATCCTCATTTTACAGATGGGGAAACTGAGGTTAAGTGACTTGACCAAGGTCATATAGTTAGTTTCTAAGGCTGGATTTGATCTCAAATCTTCCTGACTCAAGATCCAGCACTCAATTATTATACCACCTACCTACCGCACTAGGCATAGAGTCACAAGAACTAGATTTGAGACTGGGCTCTGCTCATATGCCTTGTGTCTATGGGCAAATCACTTGGCCTTTCTGGACCTCAGATTTCTTATCTAGAAAATGGGAATAATGATACTTCTATTATTGGCCTCAATGAGGTGGTTAGTAAGGAAATTTTTTGTACCCTGTAAAGCAGTCACAATGGGTGACTCTCTCTACCTATTGCAGTGATGCTGCTACTACCCATAACATTTCCCAAACTCTTCTCATAAATCTGAGTCATCATTTTTAGGCACATCCAGGAAGTTTTTGGACTCAAAACAAGAGAATCTAGCCTCATCACCTGTACCCACCTTGCTCTCTGGTCTGGGCTCTCAATGACTTTTTGACTAGTTGAAAAAAAAAATCAAATGCATCCTTAAAGGGCAAAAGTTTGGACCATTCAAAAGGTGCATATTCCAAAAACAATGTGCAGCAGGCAGTTCTCCAAAAGAAATTTTAAAAACTTTGGAATATATGTATATAGTTTCCCAGGTTGGCAACTCTCGGTTGGACACATTAAGTTCACATTTGTTTAAAAAACAAAAAGCAAAAAATGAAACTCTGCTTCCTCAGAGCCATACCTATTTTTTCTTTTTTTGGCATTTGTCAAATTCAGAATTTTAAAAATTTAATTTTTTTTTCTAATATGGGGAAGCATACTGCTCACCTCATTGGATTATCATGGAGAAAGAATCTTGTAAGCACAAACATGCTATGAAAAATAAGTAAAAAAAAAGAAAAATAAGTCAATGCTATTAATAATATTGTATTAGTCACATAGAGCTCTATAATCTTTTTCAAAGTAATTTATAAGGCATTATCACATTTGATCGTCACAAAAACCCTGGTGGGTAATTAGAATAGGTTCTGTCCCCATTTTACAGATGAAGAAACCAAGATTGAGAACCATCCCAAGTCCCGTAGAAGTAGACTAAAGCATACAATTCCTGACTTCAGCATTGTTGAATATTATCTTTGTGTGCCACCCCCTACTACAATAGGTACTTAAATTTCTATTGAACTGAAGATTGAAAAAAAAGTAGAGCTTAACACTATGGTAGGAAAAGAGTGCTCATCAATTGGAGAGTGACTAAGCAAATTGTGAAATAGCCAAATGTAATGGAATATTACAGTGCTGTAAGAAACATTGAATGGGAAGAACTCAGAGAAGTATAGGAAGACTTATATGACCTGATGGTGAGTGAAGTAAGTGCAACCAGGAAAAGCATATGCACAATGACAAGAATGTAAGCAAAATGGCAACAAACCCAAGCTGACCACAAGCTTGCCCCTGTGGAAGAGTTGGGAAAATACAACTGTCTCTCCCAATCACAGAGGTGTGGAATAATGAATTTACTGCCAGAGTCAGCTGATGTGTTGGTTGGTTTTTCTGAACTGCTTTTCCCCCTCCTCTTTCTTTTTAAATCTTTATAACAAGTGATAGCTCACTGGGTAGGGGAAAGAGTCTTCTTCTACCTTATTCTCCTCCACCTGGTCCATGATACAGTGACAGAGACTCACTTGTTCTTCCTTAGACATAACACTCTTATCTCTCAAGTGAATATTTTTATTAACTGTCCCTTATGCCTAGACATCTTTCCTCCTTATGTCTATCTTCTGGTATCACTGGCTTCCTTTAAATCTCAGTTAAAGTCCCACGGTTAAGAAGCCTTATTGGTCCTACTTAATCTTAGTGCATTCCCTTTGAGATTGTCTCCAAATTCATTCTGTATATATCGTCATTGTACAGTTGCTTATATGTTGTCTCCCCCATTAGACCATGAGCTCCTTGAGGGCAGGATTGTCTTTGCCTTTCATTTAGCACAGAGCCTAGCACATACTAAGCACTTAATAAATACTTGTTGACTTTACTTGACTTGAAATAAATGTGATGTAAAAACCAAAGGTGTAAATTTTTTAAAAAGGGAGCACAAGAAAAAATATGATTAATTAAGGATTTTAACTTGTTGCATTTGAGTTTACCAAGTTTTCTGGAATGTACTTACTTAACGTAACATTTGTTGACACTTGAAAATCACCATACTTGATTAAGCAGGTTAAAGAGAAATCGTTGGTTTGATTGACACAGAGTTCACTGTCAATGTTATACAGCCTAGTTGTTGGATCTTGGAAAGTGGTGGTGTTGAAGGAAGTTAGTTCTTTCCCATCTTTCAACCAGAAGAGCTTAGGCTGTGGATAACCTTTGCTAGATGAACAAGTTATCCTCCAACAAGAAAAAAAAAATCCTTCTTCATGGATATTAGGATCTGAGAAGTCAGCTGGAGAAAGAACAAGGAGGTAAGTACATTCAGAAAGTAGAAACATATGTGCATATTTGCTATATAGTGGACTTTGTTTTTGAAATTAATAGTCTTGCAATTAGAAGAAATTATACATCTGAGACACAGATAGCCAATACTGTTTTGCTAATTAGCTACATCTCAATTTTTCTGCTTGTACTTGACCTGCTTACCCCAATTCTCATCTACTCATAGGAGGGAAACGGAAGGACGACATATAGGCCAACCATCTGTTCATTTCTCACCAGGTTGCAGTCTGAACCACTCCATCACGTCCCACAAGTCTCATCATCCTGGAAGATCATTTCTTTTGGCTATGGAAATTATTGGTAATGTATACAATAAACTCTCTATTATATGGCATAGTCCAGGATTATATTTCTAGTTAAGCAAATATTCTACTGAATAAAATGTGAAACTTTTATAAGACATGTGAATTTTCAGTTTTAAATAATTGAGATACATATACATATACACACATCACATATGCCTATATACACAAATGGGAGGGATAGCAAGGTTTGATGGATAGAGAACCAGGCTCAGAGTCAGGAAAACCTGGGTTCACGTTCCACCCCTAACATAGATTGGCCATATGAACTAGAACTAATTGTTTAAGCTTTCAGTACCCCAAGCAACTCCTTAAAAATTATTCATACCTTTTGTTTTCACATGGTCTACATTTCCCAGAGTATCCCTACCTGCCTCCCCCCCCCAAGAGAGCCATCCTTCATCATAAAGAATAAAAATGAGGGGGAAAACAGTTCAATAAACTAACATACTGAAAAAATTAGAGATTTTATGCAGTGTTCGACATTCTTTGTCCCCCATTTCTGTAAAGAAGGAAGGGAGATCTAGACAATTCTCTAAGGCAGAACATTTACTGGGATTTTCCTGTACCAACAGACTCATGAGTGCAGATCCCTTCAACCAAATATACCTACCTAGAGAATATAATCTTCATAACAATACTCTGTGTTTACACACTTGCTGAATGAAATGATCATTTTATGTGTACTGTTACTTATGATTTTCAAAGTTCTTTTCCATGAGTTATCTCATTTAATAAAATACAACTAACATTAAACCTAGAGCACAAATACTTTAATATTCCTTGATGATCCAAGAAGGACCTTTAGGATTTTGGAGCATCTGGTGTCATCATCATGAGCATCTGTTATGGCACTGCTCATGTGCAGAAGGGCCATCTAATAGAGATTTTTAGTTGGCAGAATGATCAATAAATCTGAATTTACTATGTGATTAATATTTCTTATGCTTCAAAGATCTAGGAGTGTAAGTACTACCTCCACTAGTGCAGATCTCAGCCCTTCAGTGACTTAGTAAATGGTTTTCAAGAGCTGCTGTGCCTAAAATTTCCCCCCACTACAGCCCAGTCTGATAGCCTCTGAATTTAGCTCTGCCGGTCCTCAGACAGAGGCTTATAGACTGTCACTGGTCTGCTTTCAAGTACTTCCCAGCTTGCTGGAGTCTGATGGACATGGCAGAAACTGGCATCATTTTCATGCTTTGATGAGGCATCAGAGCAAGACTTTAATGGGGGCATATAGAAGATAAATCTGGCTGGAGGTTTTACTTTGTTCATAGTGAATAAAGTTACTAGTTCTCCTTTATCCCTGAGGAAATGAAGCCTGTTCTCCTTTGATGAATCTTCTGTTAGGATTATGGGAGCTGCCAAAGGGATCTTCCTTAAGCACAGTTCTGACCATGTCACCCCTCGACTCCAGTGGCTTCCTGTTGCCTCCAGGAGAAAATTTAAACTCCTTGGTTTGTATTTTAAAGCCTTTCACAGCCTTTACAAACCAAAGGAAGGTTTGGAAGCACCAACCTTCCTTTCTGGACTCATTATATATTTATTCCCCTTCCTACCCTTGAAGATCTACCAGCTTTCTGTTCCTCACACATGATACTCCAGCTTCCATTTCCATGTGTTTACACAACCATGCCCCACATCTGGAATGCTTGACCAATAGAATGTAGGCTCCTTGATGAGAGGAACTGTTTTACTTTAATCTCTGCATTCTCAGGGTCGAGCATAAAACATGGCACAGAGTAAATGCTTAACAAATAATTATAATTAATTGGTTAATTAATGGAACTCTCACTAGCTGTGAGCTTGGGCAAGGGGAAAGGAATAAGTATTTATATAGCACCTACTATATGTCAAGCACTTTACAAATATTATCTCATTTGATTCTCACAATGACCCAGAGAGAGAAGCTATTATTATCCTCATTTTACAGTTGAGGAAACTAAGGCAGACAGAGGTTAAGTGACTTTCCCAGGGTCACACAGTGAGTGTCTGAGGTTGGATTTGAACTCAGATTTTCCTGAGTCCAGACTCATGCTCTATGCAACTCAAGGGCAAGTCATTCAATTTCTCTGTTTCCTCAGCTATAAAAAAAATGAAGGATAAAATACTTGTCCTATGTACCATATAAGGTGAAGATCAAATAAGATAATGGATAGAAAGTGCTTTGTCAACCTTAATGACTATATAAGTATCAGTTCTTATTATCTAGTGACAGTAAGAGTTAGTCTTCTAGCACTTACCTCTAATCGATAATTTCACATCAAGCTTGTGGACACGTTTGTATTGTCCTCCTACCAATTTCTGTACTATACACTCATAGGTGCCCTCATCAGGCACTTGTAGAGAAAGGATCGTGACAGAGAGGTTATTGGACAAGTCAATTGCAGTTGTCCTGTTCACATATGAAGGGTCGATGAGTTCTTCAATCTTTTTCCCAGGTACATAGGCCTGTACTACTCTCTCAGCATTTTGCCAGTAGACTCTATAACTTGCCATTTCCTTCTTAGGAATATTATAGTCACATGAAAAGGTAGCAGGTTCATTCACTCTTGCCACTTGGGTCTCTCCTAAAAGGAAAAAAGCACAGACATAAGTTGTGTGACTGAACATAAACTGTGATTTCAGGTCATTTGGAACAAAGAGATGGAATGTTTACGATTTAGTGTCAGCAATGCTCTTGGGTTTAAAGATATGAGAATCACGTAGCCAAGAATTGTTGAATAGTCCCAATATTTTCAAATGATCAAATAAGATAATATTTGTCAAGAACCTCGCAAATCTTAAAGCACTCTATAAATGCTAGTTATTTCTTTTAAAGTGTACTTTATTTTTAAAAATGATTGATTCCCCCACTCCACCCAGTTATTCTTTCCTGATGATCCTGTAGATAACCACAACTGAAAGCTTGGAAATCCATGGTAGTGGTGATGAATGACTCATGGAGTTTTTCTCTAGCCATCTGTGGAAAAATGTGGGTGTTTTTTCTAAAAGGTCATTGAAATGTGTCATTCATGAGTTGCCTGAGGTTCCTGCTGGGGGGCGGGGGCATCCTCCTATAAAATTGAAGAGCTGTACAAGAGCCTGACACAAAGGAGGAACTGAAAGTGGCCTGGGCAATAGAAGCTAAGAGCTTGGAAACTCCCACTGAGGTCCTGCCTTGAATGATCAGGTCCTGTGAAGAAACGAGGAAAGAAATGGAGGAGAAAGAGAGAGACAGAGAGACAGACAGAAAGACAGAGACAGAGAGAGAAGGGAAAAAGAAATAATGAACAAAAGAAAGAAGAAAGAGAGAGGAAGAAAGAAAAGAAAGAGAGGAAAAAGAATGAAGAAAGAAGAAAGAGGAAGAAAAGAGAAAAATAGAAAAAGAATGAACAAAAGAAAGAAGAGAGAGAAGGAAGGAGAGGAAAAAAAAGAAAGAATAAACAAAAGAAAGAAGAAATAGAGGAAGGAAAGGGAGAGAGAGACAGAGATGGAGACAAAGACAGGAGAGAGAGAAAGAGTCCAGAAACCAAGAAAATAGACAAACTGAGTCATCTAGTTATAGCTCATTTGTGTTTCAATCAGCCTGAATCCCACCCTAAAGCGGTAGAATGGCAGAGCTAGTAGGACTCTCTCCTCCTTTGAGATGACACTCAAGCACCATCTTCTGCCTGAAGTCTTTCTTGATCCCTCCAACTACTAACCTTGTATTTAACTACTTCATATGGATCTGTATTTATTAACTTTATATTTATGCTGCATGTATTTTTATATACATACTTGTGGTTTGCCCCAATAGAACATAAGGTCCTTGAGAACAGAGATCATGTTATTCTTTGCACTTGTATCCCCAGAGCCTAGTACAGTCCTTGGCACACTGTAGACTCTTAAAGAATACTTGTTTTATTGATTGACTTTAGTGATCATCTAGATCGATTTTCTCCTTTTTCAGGTTAAGAATCTGAGACTTAGGGGGAAGTGAGTTCCCCAAGGTCACAGAGCAAAATAGTCCAGCTCGAACTAGACACAGGTCTTCTGATTTGAGTCCTAGTGTTTTTTCCTCCCATGGTCTTCTTTTTAGAATATTTCTTTTTATGGTTAAAAAAATTATAATATATTTCATCTTCAAATTTCCTTTGGTTTGTATCACCTCATTACTGCTACTAGATATCTTAGTTGTTCCTGATAATCACTGTTTCATATCTATCCCAGCAATATGTAGTCAACTTCCTACTCGGAAAAGGGCTCAGGGTAGGAGTAGGAATGAACCTGGTGTTAGTTTGTGGCCCAAATCAGCTCTCTGAAGTCTAAACCAGTCTATTTGGGGGAACTAATATTCTAAATTTCTCATCCAGCAATACCCTTTTACCAGAGTTCTATTGCCAGCAAGGTTGGTATAGCATTGAGCAACAGGCCTGGAGTGAAGAAGACTCATCTTCCCGAGTTCAAATCTGTCCTCAGCCATTTATTTGCTGTGTGACCCTGAGGAAATCACTGTTTACCTCGGTTTCCTCATTATAAACTGAGCTGAAGAAGGAAATGGCAAACCACTCCAGTATCTTTGCCAAGAAAATCCCAATGAACGTGACTGGAAATGACTGAACAACAGACATTTTTCTTAATTTCTCTAAGGCACAGATTTATTTCTCTCACCTGCTACCTGGTTATTTGGCCCTCACATATTCTATGGTCCTGGCCTAGTGGTTGTGGCTGTTAATAGTTACAGACAAATAATGTCTATTCAATTAGAAAATCCAGGAGGGCATGGATTTTCCCTAAAAATCTTTAATTAAGGCAGAAATACAACTTTAATCAATTGAGTGGCTTAGCCACTGACTCATCCAATTGGTATGGCCAATAAAGAGATGTGTACTTACATTCTAATGGTGTCAGAACTTTCCCAGAAAAGGGTTGCGAAGACCTATATCTCCTATTGAGATATAAATGACTGATGAAGCTTAAGATTTGACAACTCTCAGGTACTTGCATTTTAATAGGGGAGCAGAAGCTCTTTCCTAAGAATTTTCTTTTCAGAAAAACCTAAAATCAGAACTAGCCTGGGTTTCCTGGGGCTTCGCCCTAAAGTACAAGCTTACAGTAAACAGATGGGCACATTTCCTCCCAGAGCTGACAAGCCTCAACTTGCTGCCTCCCTCCAACAAAGTCTAACTCCCCTGGGGCCTCTTCCCCTCCTCCTCCTCCAGTGTCTCATTCCTCCTTTCCTCTCAAGCCCTTTGGTGGCAAGGACCAACTCTCTAGGGAAAGGGACATCCTATCTCCCTGTGCCACTGCACTCATAGTTAGACTGTCCTCTGCACCCTCTTTACAAACCTTTTTTTCACCTTCGGTCCCCACCCCACCACTGTATTTGCCTAATGTGAAATAATTACAAATTAGGACTTGGCCTAAAATGATTTTTCTCTCTCTTCGTATTGGCTCCAATGTCCATAATAAAAATTGTCGCTTATTTAGCACCTTAAGATGTGCTAAGTGTTTCACACAGAATATCTCACGTCCTGTCCAGACCCAAATCTAGAGCAGGTATAGCTCTGATCCCTTCATTTCTTTTTCTTAAATTTTCTTTTCTTTATCATGAATTTAGCAATCATCAACAAAGGTAAACTACCCAGTGAGTGATACTAAACACTATCTGATTTTGAGCCCCTAGAGAAGGGCTTTCACGATAGTCACTCAACATATTTCCTACCCCTGACTCCCATCCCCAGATAAATATTTCCAACCAGAAAGAACCTGAAAGGTGCAGTGACTTTATTTTCTGAACGAGCAGTTGAAGCCCATGATCTGGCAAAGAATATTCTTAAAAAGGCTTAGTAAAAGCTCACTTTCTTTTATTAAGATTAGGACTGTCTCAGAAAATCCCTGGCTGAAGTTGCTGTCCTAAGGCCCTATTGCTTAAGGTGCTTTTATAGTGATCTCACTCTTTACCAGCCAAGCGTGCCTTTCCCAGCCCTATTTTCAGGTGACTACAGACAAAGGTACGCTGAGTGGAAAGGTAAAAAGAGGCAGTGTTGAAAGAGTCAGCCCAGTTACTTCCTACCTTTATTGTCAGGGTTTGTTTAGAAGGAGAGCTTGTGTATTTCCCTGGTCCAAATGCTGGGTCAGCCAGTTATCGGAAAGAAATGAGCTCACTTGTTCCTCCCTGTTAAGGAAATGAGTAATCACCTGGGTATTTGCCTGCCTGCTTGCTAAAAAGGCCAGGGGGCATCTGTGGCCCCTGATTCCAGAAAAGGGAGAAGGCTGGGGAAGGGGGTAATAAGAAAGGAACTATCCTAAAACAGGTAAAAATATAGCCCTGTACCTATCTGAAGGGAGACTGAAATTTTTTTTTTTAAAGGCAATTGGGGTTAACTGACTTGTCCAGGGTCACACAGCTAGTAAGTGTCAAGTCCAGTCTGAGTCTGGTCTGAGGCCAGATTTTAACTCAGGTCCACCTGACTTCAGGGGTGATGCTCTATCCACTGTGCCACCTACCTGCCTTAAGACCGAAATCTTTCTTTGCCTGACTATTAGGATTTCTATAATCTCTGACCTACTTATTCTAAGGAATACCATATATTTGAATCATAAGGAGCCTCTAGTTCATTTCCTCCTCATTTTACAGAGAAGCAAACTGAGGCTTAGAGACAACAATTGATTTGCCCAGGGCCACACAGGTAAAGGTGAAATTCAATTTAGTTTTTGACCCTTCAATTAATTTAATTTAACTTGACTATTTGTAAATATTTTTTCTTAAGGTCCTTTTTATGGATAAAAGCATTGTGAATAGGAGAGAGTTGTCATGGAGAAGGAGGGATTGGAGGACTGGGAAGATTATTTCCCATTTATCCCATGTCAACATATTATAGTAGAAAAAGAACTCAATTTGGAGTCAGGCGACCCTTAATAGAAACTCAGTCTTTTTTTTTTTTTTTTAAAGCAATCAGAGTTAAGTGACTTGCGTAGGGTCATACAGCTAATAAGTATCTGAGGCTGCATTTGAACTCAGATCCTCCTGACTCCAGGGCCAGTTGCTCTATTCACTGGGCCACCAACTGCCCCATTGTGGGAACTAAGTCTTGCCACTTACTCCCTATGTGACCATGCATAAATCATTTTACTCCTCTTTGCCTCAGTGTCCTATCTGCAAAAGGCAGGCAGTTGAATTAGATAACCTCAAAAGCCCCTTCTAGTTTGAAGACTATGATCCTCAAGGTAGACCTTCTGCCAAAGAAGTGGGTCTCAGTGGTCCTGCACCGACCCAACATACCCATTCTCACCACTGTTCTCAGTTGGTAATTCCTCTGGCCCAGGATGCTCCCTTTCCTTTCCTCCTCTTCCTGAAACCCTATTCACCCTTCAAGGTTCAGCTCAAGCCTCATCTCTTCTATGGAGCCTTCTTTAGCTGTTTCAACCCCGTTTTGTTCTTTCTCCTTTGAATTCCTGATGCCCACCCAGTCAACACCACCCAAAGAGTGTTTCATTCTATATATGTTAACCCTTTTTTCTCTGCTTTAACATTCTCTGCTTATTCCTGAATAAGCACTGTGACAAACATGTAGTGAATATACATTTATTGTATCCATCAGCT